ATATATATATATAATGTATGTACAGTTGTGTATACATATGTATGTAGAGAGGAAGGGACAAAGTGTCGCGTAACACAAACTAAAACCGCAAAACAGAGGAAAACGGAAAACGTAGGAGGATAAGGGGTGGAGGTGGGGGAAAAAAAAAAAAAATAAATAAAAATAAAAACTAGGGAACGAAGATGCACGTGCGCGTACATGTTACGTACACATGTAAAAATCGCTGAAATGCGGGGCCCAAATCGCACTCTGTGTATAAACGATGTACCTCTGTACAATGGGTGTTGGTAGCGCTGCACATTGCGGATGCATGTATATATATATCATTATCCAGTCCAGTTTTCGTCCAGCCAGCGTGCCAATAAGTATATACGTAATGTACATACCTACATATAGAGAGAGAGAGACATGCAGATGGACGCGATGAGAGAACTCGATTCCGCGCCGGGGTGCGCGATCGGAGGCACGGAACGCCGATTTCCTTCACGCTTCGCGAAGCAAATCGAAGTGTAGGTATATGTGTATAGGTTGCACATTACACTAACTAAGTTATAGTTCATTGAAATTTAACATCGATCGATTTTATAAAGTTCGGTATAACTTTGTGTGGAACCATACGTGTATAGAAGGGGATACTAAGAGGATGGAGGTGAAAAAAAAAAAAATAATAAAANCGATGAGAGAACTCGATTCCGCGCCGGGGTGCGCGATCGGAGGCACGGAACGCCGATTTCCTTCACGCTTCGCGAAGCAAATCGAAGTGTAGGTATATGTGTATAGGTTGCACATTACACATACACACGACAATCAAACGGACAAACAAACGAACGAGCGGGTGTGTACGTCATACCTCTCTATCTGCTCTCCTCCTCCTCCTCCTCCTCCTTCACGTTTGTTTGTTTGTGAGAGTTTTATACTTATCTAAATAATAATACAAATGGGTACCAATATTATACCTACTTAATACTCATGTAGATATAAATGAGCCAATCAAGAGGTATACTGCAGGTATATACAACGATCATAAATTTGTTGATAATACAATCGGCAAAGCGATTGCCGATCTCATTTCATGCAGTAAGTACATGAAGCATGTTACCATGATTGAAATGATGCGAAAGATGGTTTTTTTCTTTCCTATACATTTGTACTATACGCTTGAAGGTTTTCGGAATATAGGAAGTAATTTATTTCCTATCTATACACACACTAATTTGATTGTGCGATGTACCAACCCTCGATTTTCAAAACTACAAAGCGCCATCATCCGATTTAGCTGCTATCGATGAAACGGACGATTCGGCCCTGGCATGGCATCGGCGTTCATTGGAAAGAAATTGTTTTTTTTTCGAACGAGCCCAAAATAAGCCGCAGTCTCGGGGGCTAAATGAAAATAAAAGAAAAACCAACCACCCTCGCACACGCGGCGAAAAGACCAAGGTGGAAAATAAAGGCTCGCGTGTACGGCTATTAAAACGACGGCAAGTATAAGAAAGAAAGAAGGAAAGAGGCGAGCAAGAAAAGAGCAAAGCACGCGCATAGGTGTATAGGTATATGAGGGCCGAAAAAGAGAGAGACCACGTAATGTAGGTACGAGTGAAAAAAAAAAGGGACAAAGCGTCGGTGCACGCATCATCGGGAAAGGAAGAAAGGAAGAGTAAAAAACAAAAAGTAGAAGAAGAAAAAAAAAGCGAGAGAGTGCACGAAGCAGTATATTGTACACGTATAGGTATAAGGTCGTGCGCGCGGGTGCTCCTCTCTCCCGTCAAGAGGAGGAGGAGGAGGTCCGGCGCGGCTTCTGGCTCATTGGGCAGCCGAACAAATTCGTCGCGACGTCCTTCCCCCTGCAGCACTGCCCCGGATCACAAGAGCTCCCCCTCCCCCTCTCGCGCGTGTACATACACGCCCGCACCTTACTCATACACCCATCATACATACATACAGTGATATACGTACGCGTGCGAGAGACTTTTTTTTTTTTTTTTTTTTTTTTTATCTTGGACATCGGAAAACATAATATAACGGCTGACCGGCTTCGGCCGCTCTCCTTTTTTGGGCTCCATATAGGTATATTTTTTACCCTCCCTTTTGTGTTTTTATCATCATCATCACCACCACCACCACCGTTGTCATTCTTATTATTATTGCACGCGATTGTGAGCCATACTGGAATTGACGTATACATACATGTATACCTACACGGAGCCTCTCGAAAAACCAAAAAAATCTATCCTCCTCCCGTACCTCGCGTATTTATGTAGTGTACCATCTTCGTGGTGCTTTTTTGTTTGTTTGTTCGTCTCTTTACCCCCCGCCTTCTTTTTCGATCTTGTTACGTTGACTTTCTCTCCCGAGGACGACGTGAATAAAAAGTAACGTGACAAGAGCAAAATCAGGATGCATTATACCCACCTCTGCTTTTCTTCGTTACCATTTCATAAATGAAATGCTCATCGACGAAGGGATGTGCCAATGAAATCGTTCGGCCTATATACTCCCTTTTTTTTTTTGAGATCCGATGGTGTGTTTATAAATATGTACACGTACACGATATAATAATTACATTGGTTGTAGACCTGTTTCTCATATGTGCTATACGCTCGCGAGTCGCGGCTTTCGATGTCATAATGTATACGAGTTCGGGTTTCATTAGAGTATATTATACATGTTACGGATTATAGGCATATAGGTACGTATACGTACGTACGCAAAAAGTGTTCAACTTGACCATTGTATATATTATGTGAAATTAGAGATGAAACGCGACGAATGTGTACCAACGTTTATGTAAAATAATTGTAAAATGAGTCAAAGAACTTTCAATTTTGTTTTACTTTTGATGTGTCGTACGATTTTTAATTTTTACATATATAAAGCCACTATCTATCCTTGGACACGAAAATTCATCAACACTGTACCAGCTGTATATTACGAGAACGACGGCGAGTACGAATGTTTGAAAATGTCGAAATAACGAAGAGAGCAGCTACAGATTTTTTATGACAAGGGGAACGAAAGAGCAGATTTCTCGCTCGCGAACTGGAGGACTTGCAACGAAAAAAAAAAAAAAAAAAAAAAAAAAAAATTAAAAAAAAAAAAAAAAAAAAAACAAAAACAAAAACAAAAACAAACAAGAGAGTAATGACAGGTAAGTAGGTACTTTTACATATGGTTCGACGATGGGTGAACTCCCATCCGCCCGCTTTCACTGCGTTGCTCACCGATGGAATTCAAAGCGCAAGAAGGCGATTGGTCTTTCANCCCTATATACCTACTGTGTTCACGGGATGTACGTATAAGTACGCTTGTGTGTAATACCGTTGCGCGAATGTAACATGTACACAATAATGGTAATAATATACAGAGTATATGTATACGTATAGGTAAGCATATCTTTAAATCATAGCTCGCGCGTTTCATCGATTAACAAGACAAGCAGTGCTACAAACAATTAAGATAAGTAAGATCCGAAACTTTTAAGGATCGAAGCCCTGAAAAAAAAAAAAAAAAAAAAAAAAAAAAGAATCCAAAGACAACTAACGAGTACGCTGTGGGTGTCGTCGTGGGTGTCGCCGCTGACGGAGCTCTTGCCGCTACTCGTGCCAATGCCCAGGTCGCTCAGGTCGTTGGCGTCCTCCTCGTTGTAAACGGCGAGGCTGATGCTGAGCTTGCGGCCACGATTGCCGCGCTCCTCCATCATCTCCGAGAAGGTCTTGCTTCGCCTGCGCTGCCTGTCGTGCTCCTCGAGCTCCAGCTTCTTGACCTCGACGACTCGTTCGATTATGTGCTCCTGTCGTTTCCGTCTGCTGCTCTTCCAATTGTCCAGATTCTGTAGGCAGTGCGGCAAACGCGCATGAGACCAAATTCTTGAATCATCGAACAAAAAGCAACTTTATACACTCACGGACTGCCAATCCTCGGGATCGTCCCGGATCTCTTGTTTGATCTTCTTGACCTCCTGGACCTTTTGCAACTGCTCCTGGGCCGTCCGGTAGAGCGAGCATGGCCCGACTTTGACGAACTGCAGGGGATTCGTGGCCTGCTTCGGCGGCGTTTTCAGAGTAGTTTTCAACTTTGGCGGCTCGTGCGGTACCTGGACAACAAAATCATTCACATCATGGCGATCCCGCACATTTGCCCCATTCTCGGGGAAACCACGATATCTCGCGCATACATCGGCATAAGTTGTACATACCAACCCACAGGTATGGTACACATGTACAAAAGGTTGCGCGGGGGTGGGGCGCTTAGCGGGTTTCGCGAGAGAGAGAGAGAGATAGATAAGAAGGGGCGCGCTCGCGACCTCGGGCCGTTCTCGGGAATGCGATCGATGTAATCTAAATATACGCGGAGGGGCTGGCTCTAGAGACTATATTATACTTGTGTGTGTCCTCTCTGTGCGAAGAGGCCCGTACAATAAAATACCCATACCAACGTTGTAGCCCCGTTGTAACGTCTATACCAATAAAGCCCTGGGCTCGACAAGCTTGTAGGGTATACTATAGAGTGCCCATTTGCACGGTGAGTATACATGCGTACATATTGAAAATACACGAGCGCACCCTCGGAGATGATGATGCCCTTTTTTTTTTTTTTTTTTTTTTTTTTTAATTATTTTTCGCCGGTGATGGCGAAGACGGACGGCTCTTTGTTCGCGAGCAGACTCGCGGAAAATTCGGCGTATCGCCTCGGCGTATCTATATACACGCGGTGTACATTTACCGTATGTTATAGCTGCTCTGCGCATCGAGGATCGTCGTCCTGTTTATGTGGTGGTGGTCTACCACGTACGTAAGCCGATACGTACTGTATGCAAGAACTAAAGATGCAAGTTGCCTTTTTTTCTTCTCTTCTCGTTTCTGCGTCAACTCGATATAATTTTTCAAGCTCTTGGTAAAAAAAAAGGAGAGATGACGCGCGTCTTTCGAGTCCCGAAGTAGAGAGTTATTGGGCTCTAAATAGTCGGGAGGTCCGCAATTACACGACCCGGGTACAATATGTACATCGTATACCTATCTCTATAATATATACTTACACACGGGGATAATTATCGAAACGATTGGAAACAATCGGCGGCGTGCGCGGTGCAAAAGGGCCCTGCTGGAGCGGGCTTCCTCTTCCGGCTGCTTCCACTTTACGTAACTCTCTCTCTCTCTCTCTTTTATCCCAGTTTAAACTCTCCGTCTTTTTTTCTCTCTCGCTTGGTAGCACATTTCTTTTTTTCCTTTATTTTTTTGCTGCACGCTTGCGAGTATCGGTACCATATAATGTTAAGAAAGGCACTAATTATCGTTGGCCGTTATGGACGTTTTTTTTGAAGCAAGTATATATTTATTACGTGTACCTACTCTTTTATTTTTTCAAGCTAAATTTACGTTTATAAATGATAATGTTTATAAAAAACGCTTTACGCGTTTGTTCGTTAATATCACCCGTGAATTTTTACCATTTTAGGGTCCAATCATTAACGATTGTATATGCACTTGGGTACATTTCACAAAAAAATAAATTACTTCTTTTTCCATCATTTAAAAACTATACTCATTTGATTGTTTCGGTCGAAAAAGTATTTTTTTTTTCTTTTACATTTTTAGGACACGGCAACGTTATGCCGATATGTCCTCCGATTCACTGATTGGCAATTGAATTTACTTGGTGATGGTGTTCTAATTTATTCACCGTGGCTGGAAATGATGTACACTTTTTTGTACGCGTACGTATAAAAAAAAAAAAAAGAGAGACGAGCGACGGGTCGTATTTCCGCCCGGTTGGATGTATAACAATGCCCGCAGACAAATGAGCATCGTTGGGAGCAGCAGTAGCGTTGGTACAGGTATACGTACCACCTATAGCAATTTCCTCCATCTTCTCGTTTGAATTTTCTCTCCCTCTCTCTCTCCCCCCAAATTGTTGTTGTTTTTTTTTTTCTATTTACTCCGACTAGTTTTTCTCGATTCCACCCGATCTCTCGACAGCTCGGCTTATCCATTCGCATCACACTACAGCCAACACCGATTCCCCAAACTCGATTTTCATGCCAAACGAATTAATTTCCAGCGCATGGACGATAACTGCAGGGTATGGGTGAGTGTCACACAGGTAAATAGCAAAACAATCATCGTTGTATATTGGATCACCATCGAGTTTGAAAGCCTAGAAGAAAAGGAGGAGGAGAAGGAGGACCCACCGCGCGGGAGGGACGCACGGGGGGTCTGTCCTTCTCATCGATCGAGACGTGGTACACATCAGGAGAGAGATGCGGGCCCCCGAAACCTCACGCACCACCTCGTTTCTTCCAGGAGACAAAGGCTTGCAACAGCAGCGCTGATGCGTTTGCATCTCCCCATCTCTCTATTTCTTTGTGCAAACATGTAGAGATACAGTATAATATATAGGTACAACACGTAAACTTGTTTTTTTTTTTTTTTTTTTTTTTTTTTCACTCCCGATACACATGGTGCAGCGTCTCCGGTTGCCCTCAGGCTCTCGCGACTTTTTGGCTTGATTTTCGGAGAAACTCGTTCCTTTTTTCGTTTATGCATTGTGCGGTGGTTGTTTCCAGTTTTTTTCCCCTTTTCTTTCCAAGAGAGGACGCGTATAGCGATATAGGTACGTGGTCGAGTTACCTACCGGTCTGTCGCATGATTGTATGTTAGCGTCGAAGGTGCCTTTTTACCCGATATTCGGACGGCCGATGAATTTGATTTCCGAAGAAAGTATATGAGACGAACTAACGATAAGACGTAACAACTCTGTGTCGTGTCATTGCATTCGTGACGAATACACGAAAACGTATACTTTAACTTAGATGAGCATGAAGAAACAAAAAAAAAAAAAATAGAATAAAAGAGAGAAGAATCGAAGAGGTGCGGTCAGTACGGATTCGCAGACCGGAACTGCTTGTCTGAGAGAGACAAATGGCTAGTTGGACAATAGGGGAAAAAAGCAAACAACAGTGAGAATCGCAGGGGACTCGAATGGGTGGAAGGGCAATTTTGCGGGTTACACTAATAAACAACTGTAAAATAAAAAGTCGTTTGGTAAAAAAAAATTTCAATTCGTTACATTTGTACCGAATCAGCAAATTTTACCAAGGTACATTGGTTTTTCACAAAAAGCTACGTGCATCAAGTATGTTCGATCATTTAATATACGTAGAAGGAAGCACCGATACTCGTTTCGGACGATAATTTGCACAGGAACCTCCCAAAAAATACAAATTTCCCGAAAACCCGATCCAGTGCGGCGCAGCTATTTAATATCTCTACCAGAAACACGAAACGTCCATCAATTATCTGCATACTGCAACCGCTTCGAAGCTATCCCATCCTTCGATGTACCGATGGTGCTGCTCGAGCTGCTGCTACTGGGGTACGCGATCGTCGATGAAACTTCATCGGCAGAAGGATAAAAAAGACAAAACCGAGGAAGGGAAACGAAGGTCGGAGGACAATGAAACCATAATCGGCACAGAAAGCTTGTACGGAGGAGACGAGCTGGCCGATCGAGGAAATCGGCGGGAGCCAGATGCCGCGCGAGCTTTTTCGTCTCCCTGTTTTGCGTGGCCACGGTATGAGTATATGCTACAGGGTACAGGCGTACCTCCGTACTGGTGGTCCACAAGCTGTATAGCGTAGTACTGCGCTTGTGGTCTCGTCGTATTATAGCATCGGAGAGTAGATCGAAAAAGAGAATCTAGAGTAAAAGAGAGAGAGAGAGCGCACCTTGCGACGTCGTCGTCGCCGAGGTTCTAACAAGAGCCGAGGAGAAACACGATACTTATACGCGCGAGAGCCCCGGAGCGGCGCGAGTACTCTCCGCGGAGGGGAAAATCGCACGGCCTCGTTCTCATTTTCCCATGGAAAAACAGTTACTTTTCTCTTTCTCTCTCTCTCTCTCTCTCTCTCTGCACACGTGTTGTTTGGAAGAAAAAATTTTAAAAAAGACCGATTTTACAAGTCAGCTTTACAAATTTCGCAATTTTATTCTCATCCTGTATATATGTATTAAGTACAATTCAAATGAGCTCGAAGATATAAATAAAATCAACTCCTTTGGTGAACAGGTATCCGAAAAAAAAGAGACTGGACTTGAACGTTAAAAAATACACATGATCCTATTGTACTCGGGATAATCACGAAAATCGGCAAGTACGTAATCCGATCCGTAAATCCTCGATCTCGATATTTACTTGCTTCGACAAAATCCGTGAAAAATCCTAGAAACCGTGAAATGATCATCGTACCTACATAATGTGCGTGCGGTGCGGTCCGCCGGACAATGATCCCAAAATCGTCGGTCCACGTGCCGCCACGACGTACGAGTCGACAAATGATTCATGGGAAAAGCGCAGTCTTGATCGACAGGACAAAACTCATCTTGAAAAACCGTTGGACCATGAGTGTGTTGTACCTTTATGTGTACACGGATGGGAGCGAGCGAGCCATCGGTGCGGCCCATTACCTTCGCTTACCGCGTGCGTACCTACCCTCCATACCAACCTACCCTCTCTCAAATGAAGCGAGCGTGCATCAATACGCGTGCCTTCCAAACGAGCAATCGCTGCTGCAGTTATTTATGTATATATATTTTTTTGTTTATTTTTATGTAGTTGTTACTATTATACGTGTGTTATCTAAATACAAATTGCTGTAATAGTTACCTATTCGAAGGGCAAATTGGCCGAAACATTGAAACTTGAACGGTTATTTGGTGATGTTTTGTTCTTCTGACAATGGCATTTTTTTTCTTTACAACCGCATTGAAGCAATCTCTGCTGATAATCTTCTATTTCGGCGTTTAGTTCCTCGTATGAGACTTCCACGGTATCCGCGAGCCTCAAGTCTTCTCTATACATGTATAAGTTTGAGGGTTGTTTAATCGTTATAAAAATTTTCCTCCATCACACACGATAAATATATACATGATGGTGTACCTGCTAACCTTAAATACTTTTCTAGTTTACTAGCTCCGGTGCCGCTGCGCTTTTTTTCCTTCGGCGTTTTTTGCTTGGGCTTTACTCCAGATGTCTTTGTGCCCGATGACGTCTCCGAGGACGATGAGGTGTCAGGCCCACTGGGTTCGGCCAACTTGTCATTTTCAACGACAACTAAAACAAATAAACGAACTTGAAGATAGCATCCCTCATTCGTGGAGGTTAATTGCAGATAACCTGTAGCGATGGTGTATATAAATATGTGTATGTACGTTTTCACGCACGTCATCACGCGAGAATTGCAAAAAAGTTAATTAAACAATTGAAATAGAAAGTAATATGTAATTACTTCGAGGAACTTGGTATGGTTTCAGATCATCTTGGTTTTCTAAATACTTCCAAAGCTCCTGCACTTTGGTTTGGCCGCTTACGCTCTGACACCGCGAAAATTCAATACTGATTGAAGAAGCCGTTGACTTTCTGTTCTTGTCCATTACAACTATATATGTGTTATAGGTTGATTTTGTGTTATCACTGCAGTTTTAATCTCATCATCTCATATCTTTCGTTTAGCATTACCGCGTCCGTCGGGCTTTTTAGTTGGCAGTGTCAACAAAAGGGGGCAGCTTTGACTGTTCTCTTTTTTTGTGATCCGAACTTCATTTCGTTTCTCTTGTTTTGAAAATCTTAGATGTAACAAGAATCTTTTGTACCGTTTTTTCTCTCAATAATAACAATTAGAATACACATACTTGTATGTTTTTAAAAATAGTTAAACAATCGAAATATAACATCATCATCGTGTTCGAGACGAAACTTTCAACCTGTCGTTACCAGTACTTTTGAAAAACTGTTAATTAATTCATTGTTAATGTAAATGATTCATACAAAGTATTTAATTCTTACTCTGTGTATCGTTAAATTCATAAATGAATTCAGGAATACTTTATTTTGGCTGTAAGCTGACAACTATATAAAACAGCAGCTGAAAATTTGTCACAAGCACTACAAAAATTCTACTAAACACAAATCATCTATTTACTTTATTTATATCTTAAATAAATCGACCAAACAGCTTTTGTATTCATTTTAAATTCTGTGGCCTTTTGAACTCTAGCATTTTGGTTATTTATGAAAAAAATTAACGTAAAAGTAAACTTTGAGTTTGTTTATACACAAAAGGTATGAAAAGCTGTTGCTGCATCGTGTGTACATAGAATTTGTATGCATTTCCGATATTTTATTGATTTATTTATGTAATATATAATTTATAGCAATGATTATTAAATTTACACTTGGCACGCAGAAAATAGTGAACAATTTTTCTAACTTTTTTTATGTGTTTTGGCTTAGTTTTCAATTTGCAACCTGATCTCATAATACATTTATTCAGCTATATTTATTAAGATAAATTTTGCAAATAGACACTTTATTATTTTTTTTTTAATTTTCGCGGAGTTGGAGACTACTCGCGTTGCCTACATTAGATATACTAGAAAACTGTATTATCAACACGCGGTGATTGAATAAAAAAGGCATCTGCAATATCTACATATGGTACCATTTAAAAAGACTCCTTTCTCTTTTTCACGATTCGCGATAATCGTAATTTACTTATTCACGATTAGAAAAATATTGACAATTGCGTGACTTACCTCGATGAATCATGGTGATTTAGTGAATGAGTTATGCGAGAGCGATTAGCTGTAATAGCAGTGGTGTAAAGAGAATCGCGAGATTCGCGAGTCACCAGTGGATGCGTGCGCTAGTGTATATAATATGTACGTGCATGTACACATAGATTCTGTACAAGCAGATGTGATGTGTGATGTTAAAAGAGGTACAGCATCGTAAAAAACTAGTGTATCCTATGCAGTGGAGCAGCCTCTTTTATTCCAATTAAAAAAAAAAAACAGTGTTGTCGAAGAATGAGTAACAAATGTTACATCAAGCGGGTAAGACGGAGAAGTTACACTACTCGAGCGGCATAGTGCAGTATCTACATGTCGATTAGAAGAAGAAGATACTGTTTTTCATAATTATCGATGAAGAACGTCAAAGTATCATCAGAAAAAATATCACCACGCACAAACAGTAAAATTGCCCTTACCCTGCACTGCAACATTAGTGCGTCCGGATACAGACGGTGTAGTACTGCAAATTATTATTTGCATGTGGTTTATGTGGACGACGGCGGTCTGCAGATTAACAGCAGCAACAACAACAATAACAATAACAAAGACTGCTGGAGCTGGACGGGTACGTTGCTGGGCCGCGTAGGCCATCAGCCACCACGGTTGCCCATCATCTTCAACAATGTTTAGTAAGAAAGTGCATGTGGATATCAAAAAGTCGACCCTCAAGATCCAGGACGTTAAAAAGGACAGTGCCACCCGATTTAAGCATCTCAAAATCGTCCTCGGTAAGTGAATATGGGTGTTCTATTTGTTTCTAGTTATCTATAATCCCATAATATAAATACACCTGAGCATCTTTGGTACCTATGATTATCGAGTTCCTGCATACTTTTATTACATTCAATGTACTTTAATGTAGATGGGTGTACTTATATTTATGATAGCGTAGGAGGCAAGAGAGCGAGACGGAGGTAAAAGATATGTGGGACGCACACGGGGAAAAGCGAGATGGTTACTTCAAAGGGGGGCAGCAGGCGCTATAGGTGAAAATTATTATTTCACTTGCGGATACCACCTACGTAATAATGATCATCATAACAACGTGGCGTGTGTATTTTTTTTATGTCACAGCAGCATCTGTGGGAAAAACAATCTCTCTCCCTCCTCTGGGAGTCATCTTTTCATTGTTATTACTCTTCTTCCTTGTATTGCATTATATTAACGCCCACGCTGTTTGACGTGCCATGGGACAGGTTTTGAAAAACTGTCTCTTAGGAGTCTTTGGATACTGGCGTTTATTTTTCAAAATTACTTGATTCCCTCACACATCTATAATTGATCTTTAATGTGCTTAATGATGTTTAAATCATACCTGTAGATTATACCATGTTATGCAATTTTTTTTTTCGTTATCAGAATTCTGTATAGTATTTATTAACATGCAATGATTTGTCAGTCTCGAAATAAAATTCTACATTTTACATAATTTCTTATAATAATTAACAGCTTAATATGTAACATGAATTATAATGTCTACTTTCAAATCGTATAATTTACTGTGTTAAGAAAACAACAATTTTAATGAGTATCAATATCAATGATTGAGTATACAATTGATTTTTATTTTTTTGAATCGAATCGATCTAATAGTTCAAAAAGGCGGATAAAAACAGCACGATTTTTTAGAAGTAATTATTGCTCTAAGCTCTAATTAGATAAGAAATAGATTAAGAATAACGTAATGACATCTAATCTTCAACACTATCTTAAATTAATTGCTTAATTAGCCTGAAAAAAAACATACTCTATTCATTCCTACTGAGTCACCTCTAACATTTCATAAATTGGGTTTTTTTTTTCCTTTCTTACAGATAATGTGGACACTGATGAAGCCAAAGGTTTCTTTGAAGCAAATTTCAGTCATGTTTACTTTATTTTGTATGATTGTTTTGTGGCAGCAGAAACCAATTTACGTCAGAGAGGTAATATATAATAATTTATCAAAATGATGAAATATTAGTTTTTTTTTTTTTTGTATTCACCAACTTTTATAATATATTTTCTTTATTTAATATAACAACATTAACACCTTGAGAGAAAGAATTGTAAATATTATTAATACCATGGAATTTTAACGTTTCATGTTTTGTCATGCAACCTTTTATATTTATTTTTACTTGAGTGTAGTTGTAAAAAGTTTGGGGTTTAGTGGGTTACAATTGAAGACAATAACGCATTCTTTTCTCTATTAATTTACTAATATGAATTTTCTCTGCTTCTTTCACTCTACTGTGCTGACAGAACTCTCGTTTCACCTGGGTAAGTGTCATTGTATGCTTAAGTGCTTTTCTTTTTTTTAATTAAAAATTTTCTTAATTAACACTGGACGAATCAATATTTCTAAATGTCCAAACAATTTAGAACCAAAAGTTTTTTTTTTTTTTTTTTTTCAACAGTTCACAAAGCGCACAGAGAAGAGCTGGAACAGGTGTTGCAGCTATTGGAAAAAGTTCTGACACTTCTCCCTGAACTCTTAAACAGAAGATGGCAGTGTCACAGTATATCCAAGATATTACACAAACTTTTGCACCCTGGAAACAGCTGGAAGCTCAGACGACAGGCTATAAGGTGAACAATTTTTATTCTAAACGAGTCTTGACTTTTTTCAAAATGTATATTATGACTTGATGATCCGAGTTTAATCAGACCATGTTTTTCGATACTTATATCATCTCATTACATATTATTAAACAGGTTTTTTATATTATGGTATCAAACACTTGGCGACAATGCACCAGAGCACATACATCTAATGTTTGCGTGTCTAGTGCCGGGTTTTCCGCCCAGGCAGTCATCGCCTTTTAAATCCGAGCGAAAAGTCGAAGGTGGCAAACGGCACACAAAGTCCGCGAGCTGCGACGAAAAAGATCGTAAAGATTTTTACGATATGCAGCTCAATCAGTGCTTCTATAACAACGGCACTGTAAATTTCGGACCTATAAGCCAGTGCGATAATGGGCCAATTTTACCGCCCCAGAGTGGTGAAAAGCCACTAGACAATGAGTCTGTTAAATTTTTTGAAGCCTTATTAGAGTTTATGGTCACGCAGGTTTGTTTTTATTTTCATTTATCACGAATGTAATAAAAATAAACTTTGTTTGAATGCTATCAACATTGCTCGTTCTTTGTTTTTCAGGTTGTAAAAATTGAATGGCGCGATAAACATTCCCGTCAGTATAGGTCCTTCCAGTTTCTGTTGGATCGTTTCAAAGCAACTTATTTAAAACACATTTGTCCAGAATTTGATGAAAATTTTTCTCTTTACAAACCTAGCTTGGAATTACCATCGATGCGAAAACCGTCAAACCAAAGTTTGAGTAATTATATTCTTTGTAAAGTTGCTCTCATTAAATGGATCGCTACCTTTACGCACGTTACCAAAAAAGATGGGGCATTTTCCCAGCTAACGCAAAGGTGAAGATTAATCATCTTATTAATATTCTGAAAATCCAAATATTATCTAAACGACCATTTTTATGTAGCATAACACCGAATGAAGAAAATGCAGAGGAACTGCGTCGCGTTTCTGTGTCGCAGAATCAGCCGCCAGATACAAGTCTTATATCCGTAGATCAAAATTCGATACATGAAAGTATCGGTCATGAGGACAGTACAGTCACGGCTGTAGCGTTAGTTCGTGAAGTATTGTATGGGAGTCGTGATAACGTTAATTTTATCCACGAAATGTACAGGCAAGCATTTTTATTAGATTTCACGCACGCCGGGGCCATTCGAAAAGCCATCGGCGCTTATAAAGACTGGATTCAAATCAACGTGAGTTCTTGACTCTTTCTGTCTTTCAAATATGTTTCACGAATTGTTGTTTGTGTATTTAATTTTTTATTAATTATTTTATCAGGAGGTTCCTCCATTCATGCTTGAACCATTAGAAAATCATAAGGATTACCCAGAGAACCAGAAAAAAGATGCCGATTCCGATAAGAGTACCCAAGACAGTTTGAGACTGTCGAGATTAAGAAACGACTCTTACATGGGCGCGATTTATCGGGAAAATCTTTTCGTGAAAGCCGGATTACAAAACGTCCTGCAAGTATTTATAACTCAAGCCTCGAATGTATTTTTCTTAGAATATTCCGGTGGTTCAACCTCAGCCACCCTGCTCGAGGAGCAAACCGATAGTTGTAAAAGAGTTCTCAACGTTTATCGTTACGTCGTAATGCACACGAGACTCGAGCCTGCCACTTGGGAGCAGTTGTTAAGGGTATTATTACAAATAACGTCACTTGTATTGGGCGAAAGAAATCCGCGGCGGAAACACCTAGACAGTATTGGGGGGAAGCTGGCACCAGCCATTTTTCAAACTCTCATCGTCACGTGGATCAAAGCCAATTTAAACGTGGTGATATCAACGCAGCTATGGGATCAATTTCTGCAAGTTCTGACGTCGCTTACGCACTGGGAGGAACTCATTCGCGAGTGGGCCGTAAGTACTTTTTACCAATTAACGTGTGCATTCATTCATTTTATGGATTAATTAAAGTTCATTGAACTTAATTGTGCGTGCATGAAATGAGTTTCATCCTAATAAAAATTCAACCCGTGTTGAATTATTATTATTATTATTATTATTATTATTATTAAATGGAGGATTAAAGTTTTATTCGGAAAAAGTTTAATGCCCTCGACGTAAAATACGTTTATTTTCTATACCTGTAAAATTTAAACGATCGCGCGAAATGATTGATAAACGTCATAAAATATGTAGCCACCTCACAAGCCAAACTTTTTTGTTTCTTTTAGAAAACGCTCGACACATTGACTCGAGTCCTTGCAAGGCACGTTTATAATTTAGATCTGAACGACTTGCCGTTGGATAGGCTGAGCGAGCAAAAGTCGAAAAAACGCAGGGGCGTCGGGATTCGTGCGGCATCAACGGGTAGCGTGCAACCACCTCGCAGAGGTAGCGCAGACCAAGGAATGGCACATTCATCGAAAGAAGTTACCGGTGATTAAAACAAATTGCGAATTTTATAAAACATAGCTTATATAGATAAGAAAATTTTTAAAAGTCACGAAAATCATCAAATAACTTTTTATGAAAACGTAAATACTATATGTGTTTGATCGAGACGTCAAGGCCGATTCGATCGTTATTATTTGAGAAAAATTTTATAAAAATAACAATGCACATTACAGATCATGCATTTCGAGAACTGAGGAAAGTTCGACCTCTACCAAGAAGCATAAGTGATAACAACATATACAACGGCAAAATTCGCTCCAAAATCCACAGGCATCGTTTGCCAGCTGTCACTGCCGGTATACCTGGTAAATTATTGCACTGTGTTCAAGGGCAATTTATTTTTGAGTTTTTTTTTACGTTTTTGGTTTTTTTACATATCCCAACTTACGTTTTATTGTTTTTCAATAATCTGCATACAAGTGTGTTCATTGGCTGCTGTGACTACAGCATAAACGTACTTATAAATACAACGCCTGTCCTGAATTTTTTTTGCTTCTGCACTAACTGAAGGGTTAAAAATACTCAGTTTCATGACTGTTTGTGTGGGGTATAGCTTTCCGGTGCCAATGTGCTCGCATTATTTGCACTTGAAGCATTCGCTTAGTTTGAACACGAATTCAATAGCAAACATTTCGGTTTCTAACTACATTATTTTCATGTCTTTTTGCTTCTATAATCCGCTGAGTATGTATTTTTTAAAATAATTTTTAATTATCTTTCTTCAACTTGCTTAATTTTATTTTCACTAAAATTACATATTTCCTTGTATAATGAAATTTATTTAATGCAAATGTAAGGATCAACAACAGCAAGAACAACATTAGCCCAACATGTTATAACAACTGAAAAAAAAATCCTTAACCCACTCGTGATATCATCCCACCCTCTGCATGTGCAGTACTGCCCTCGTCCATAGAACGGGACATGGCGAGACTGATCCCGAATGCATCGGCAGCAACAACAACGGTGACCGCGAGCACAATGACAACGCCTTCCTCGACGACGTCTAGGAAGTTCAGGGCGCTCGGTAGGCGCACCAAGTCACTCGAGAGCGTTGTTGTCGCGGAAAGCCTGCCGCCGACTCCAAGGTGTCCGTCGCCCACTCCCAGCAGTGGTGTCGATAGTAACAAAGACAGTCCCATTCAGATTGACAATATCGACGGTAACAGTATCGGTATGTAGAGGGTAACGATTAAACGCACAAGCCGGTCAATTCGAGAGTTTTCTTTAGTTTTCAATTGTTTTTCGCTTTTCACTGTATATTTTATTTTTTTGGGGGCGTGAAAATGACTTTTTTTTCATTTTCATTTTCGTTCGCTGTATTTTTATTTCTCGAGGTGTAACATTTTCATATCCCAAAAATTTTTTTTTTTTTCAACTAATCAAAATATTTTTTTCCTTTGTAACTTAACAAAGTTTGATGCTCCTTTTTGTTTTTTGCAACTGATTTATATTTAACTGTGTGAACAATTTTTCTAACTTTTTTTATGTGTTTTGGCTTAGTTTTCAATTTGCAACCTGATCTCATAATACATTTATTCAGCTATATTTATTAAGATAAATTTTGCAAATAGACACTAACGATGCGTCAGAGAAGAGGTCAGTGATGGCTGGCGGCGGTGTAAGAGGATGGCTGCCCGACGTGGCAGTTGTTCTTTGGAGACGAATGCTGTCCGCTCTCGGAGATGTCAATAACATCCAAGATCCCACACTCCACGGTCAAGTCATGGATTATCTAGTGCAGCTGACGCATACCCTAATCAAAGTAAATTACTTGCGTGGGAAAAATTATTCATGGGCTGCTAAGCTTACGAATTATTCGTTCAACCTTATTTTTTAATTTAGATTCGACAGAACCAGGGTGTTTCGGGTGACAACCAGGTGACTCCTCCTGCACCAGAACTAATTCCTCCTTTAACAATTATAGCTCCGTGGTGTTTTAAGGTTTGCATTCACACGTGTAATTTTTAACATACTTCACTAACAAAAATTTATATATGTAATAAAAATGTATAATAACATGTATCCTTTGAATTTTTCAGGCAATTCAGTTACCTCAACAGTATGAAGCTGGCAAGTTAGCAGCGTATCGTCTCATATGTCTTTTGACGATTCAACCGCAGGACATAAGCTTACCCAAGCAGCATTTAACTCTTTTTTATCGTGCCGTTCATCACGGAATATCGAGCAATGACACAAAGATTCTTCACACCATTGTGAAATACACTGGATCTCGACTATTTAGTTTAAATCTTCCCGGCTCCAGTCTTTTGATTCTAGATTACATCCAAGCTGCAAATGTGATTCTCAGTAGTCAAGACGTAAATGTACGTTTTTTTGTCTTCCTTAGGGGAGATATTTTTTTTAGTTATTATAGTTAATTGATATAAATTACGTAGGCTCCAAGAGCAGAAGCGGTTTCGATCCTTGGCTCTCTATTATCGCTGCCAATTACAAATTCGAATACTAGAGTCTTACAACCCAATGAAGCAGATCTTGCGACGACCACTTGTCCTTATGCAAAAGTAAGTTACTTAAAAATTATTTAAGAGACATTTTGGTAACCATCTCAATTTGTATTCCATCATTTTTTAAAGGATCACATCATAGCTATTTTAATGCGATGCTGTCGACGAGAACCAACGGGCGTGGCGAGATGCATCGCACTTTCGAGCATTTCTATGTTTGTTTATAAAGAGTTGAGCCATAAAACTATGCACAGAACAGTACCGGAAGCCATCAACGTTCTTTTATTGTCGTTAAAGGTAATTTGTTAATAATTTTTAAAAATGCTGTGTAAAATGCTGAAAAATATAACAATAGCTAATACAGAAAATAGTTACATTGTAAGTAGCACTAGGTGTTTGGGTTTTGGTTTTGGTTTTGGTTTTGGTTTTGCACTTTAATTTGGTGTCAGATGCTGCTTTAAATTAGTAAATATTAGTGTTCTATCGGATCAAGTCAACAAAGAGCTTGGCAGACTATTCGGCGCAAAGACAAGTTTCACTTTTTATTAGTGAATCAGGTATATATTTTGCATGACTCGTGTTGTAACTTTATGTGACGCTTTCAGTACCAGTCCTACCGAAATCCGTACTTTGATGTGACGCAGATCTTGTTCATCCATTAATGTACGTGCGTTACAGAAGACAATTCGTTGTCTGGCAACTTTTTGTGTATTAATGTTTATATTAGCTTTTGTGAACTAAAACCGTAAATGTTACATTAATCAACAACTAATTAGCCTCCTAACTCTGAATTTTCTCGAATTGAAGAGTATCTTTTAAGTTCATGAAAACAATATATTTTAGACGACACACGCAACAGTCGCTCAAGTTGCATGTGACTGCCTCCTTCTACTTTGCGACAAGGCAGATCTTCTGTTGGAGCAATATCCAAATGTGCCAGCGAAAATCATTCAAAGCATATCGGAAACACTCGAAAGGACTATTATTAGAGAAAGAAAAAGCGCCTCAACAATATCGATGCTATTCTGTCTTGGCGAATGGGCAATGCATCTTGGTCCAAACATGCTGTTAAGTGTATATCAAGGAAAACCTCTGCTTTTAATTCTTTTTTCGGTAATTTTTGACTCGACGACAACTCTTGAAACACAAAGTAATTATTTTATCCAATAATTTGTTTTTAAGGTCTTAGACAATATTGCGCAAAACAAGGTCAGCAAAGAATCGCAAGAATCTTTAAAAGCTCCAGAACAGGAAGATTTTGAACCAAACATCACCTTGGACAACTTACTTGACGAAACGTACTCAAAATCACTTTGGGGAGGAAATATGCAGTCAGTACAGTTAGCTGCAAAAATGGTAAAGCTATGATAAAGCTTAATTTTGCACGTATCATACTTTCGTGTCACAGAACATTGAAAAAATATTTTTATTTAGGTGATGATGCATCTTGTGAATCATTTGGGACACTTTCCGATGGGTATTGGAGCTGCACGTTTGTCATCTCTTGTTGTAGAGTTAGATGACGTTCCGGGCATTGAAAGCGACGAATTGTCATCAGCCATCTTCCAAGCGCCTAACATTCAGTTGTTGATGCTATCAAATTCAATAATAATGTCACTAGTAGAGCTCGATACTTTGGATGCACCTGGTGGTGGAGTAACGGCGGGCTTAACGACGGCTCCGTCAATGGTGCGAGTATTATTGAGAGATTTGGCTGGGAAAGCGTCTTGGGATAGTTCAATTTTGTATAATCAACCTTCGTATGAAGACGCTGAAGTTCCTTTAGTGAAACCAGGTACTTCAGCCAATTCCTTGTCAATAAAACACTCAAAGGAAAAAATTCAATTTTATTCTTTTTCATAGGATGTGCAATGAAAATGGTAAAAGATGATTTATGTAGCGTCATGCCCTTACAAAGCTATCCCCCTAGACATACTATGCGACATCATGATCCTAACGTTTTACCCACATTCGAAAATGGAGCAAGTGATATGGATAATCTAGATGACGTGAGCATCTCGAAATTTTATTCGATCATCAATGAGTTCGAATCTAAATTTTTTATTAATTTTCTAGTTACTTCAATACATCGGCCACACGAGTCCAGAAGTACTAACAAATCCCGAGGTTGCCTTAAATTCAGCTGCTGGTCCACCGCAAGGTCAGCACTACGAGGCTGAAACAATCGCTACGATCCTAAATCAGCGCAACGCAGAGCGTGAGCAAATTAATTGCTGGAGCAACCACGTGAGTATGTGTGCAGCTCCAATGAGTCCACCGACGAGTCGGTCACCTCCAGCGCCCTTCCACCACTGCCGTTTGCTCTTCTCGCATCTGGGCTTAGCGGGCTGGGAACAGCGTCGAAAGCTGCATCTGCTGTCTAAGAACGAAAAACTTTTGCGAGAGCTTAGGAATCTGGACAGTCAGCGATCCAGAGAGACTCACAAGATGGCGGTGATATACGTAGCCCAGGGCCAGGAAGACAAGAATTCCATCCTAAACAACGTCACTGCCAGCAAAGAGTACGAGAGCTTTATTGCAAGACTGGCTTGGGAAGTCGAACTCGAGTCGCACACCGGCTTCCTGGGTGGTCTAGTTCCTGGCAAAGCTTCGGGCGTGACCGCGCCGTACTTTGCCACTTCATTCGCCGAAATCATATTTCACGTGGCTACCAGGATGCCTTCAGACAGCCCTGAGAGTTTATTGCAAAAAGTGAGTTGGCGTGATCATAGATAAAAGTAAATTTTATGGTAAAATTTTGAGCTAATGTTTTTTTTTAACCTTTGTAGACGAGACACCTTGGCAATGACGAAATTCACATAGTCTGGTCGGAACACTGGCGTGATTATCGACGAGATATCATCCCCACTGAATTCTGTGACGTGTTGATTGTTATTTATCCTCTTCCTAACAAACTCTACAGAGTGCAAGTAAACAAAAAATCGGAAATTCCGCTCTTTGGGTTGTTGTTTGACGAATGTATCGTGGAAGACACGGTTCTACCAGGCCTGGTTAGAACTACGGCACTGGCAGCTAGTAGATCCAAGAGATCGACACTGACGTTGTACCAACACTAGTAAGAGTCATGCCAAGAGTTTTAATAGTTTACTCAATTAATAACTTGATTAAATACTTACTTCTTTTGTAGCTATGAGGAGCGAGCGAGATCGATAGATACGATTATGAGAAATCACAAAGAAGCTACAACTTTTGAAGAGTTTGCTGCAAACGTTTATTCTCCGGTACAGCCACCAAGCCCGTTTAGCGTAGCTTCTTCAGTATCAGGTTTGTTTTCTTTTATTTTATTTTTTTCTACTTCTTGAATGTATTTTTATTGCACTCTTATATATAATGTTTATAAAGCACTGCATGACGAAAATTTTAAAAGAAAACGTAAAATTTTAGTAAAATAATGAGTCCATGTTTTAATGGAAGGTTCAACGACTAGCGTACAGTCAGTGACATCGTCAACTCTCGCAGCGGCTCTTATTGACTCTCATCAAGGTGGTCGACCAGGTCTGCGGAATCCTTCCACAGCAAGCAGTGACAATCGTGCAAATAGAGGTAGGAAGATTCTTTTATGAATTCATAGATCATCACCTTACACCTCATGTCACCCATAACTAACTTTTCCATCAGTCGTCTCATTAACACAAAAAATCATCGAATATTACGTTTTTGCTTCATAATTAAACGAAACATCTCTCACTAAACCATTAAATCTAATTCGACGTTAATCTTGCTAACTCATAAATGTTAATCCTTTTTAACAGTCTTACAAAATCTATTGAGAGGTAATACTTCCATTCTACGTACAATATCCTAGAAACTAGTCCTAGCTTTAGAAGTTTTTCTCACTCTCGCGTTGGGGTATTTTAGTTAATCTCCGCTATTTCAATTTCCAAGGTATTGCTAATGCGCTCCATTGACTGGACCATCAATATTAACGATGTGATCATTGAAATTTTTCACAGTATCTGACGGTAGCCGTGTATGGTTTAGCAGTGACACAGCCGACAGTGCGACCTTGCATGGAATATCTCCAAGACCGGCCAAAAAAATGTCCTTCAAGTTGAATAAGACTAACAACTCCCAGCCCACACCGCCTGATAGTCCCAGGTATAAATAAAACCATCGTGAGACTGGCCTGAAGTCTTCCTGCCTTTGAAAGGGGCTCTAAGAGTAGCCTGGATACATTAAGCTCTCGGTCGTTTTCGTTTGATTTTTTTCTCCAACTGTCTTGTAATATAGTATTTTTTACCTACTTTGTCAATGTAACAGTATTTTTATCTATTTTTTACCAGATTAGATCGGTATGTAGTATACTTATTAGTTTTTAATATCAACAAAAATCACATTTTTTTTAAATGTAAAAACAGTTTAATACTTTTAATTACTGTTTGGCTACTTTTCATATCTTTAGCTGCTGTATTTTGAGCATTTTTTCTTTTTCTTACATTGTTTATAAAATGAAAAAGTATGTGAGGAAGGAAATCGAATGATTAATTGCCAACTTAGATGTAATGTTTTCATTTTCCGTCCTTAGATATAATTTTGTATGATTACTTGTAAATATTGTTGCGAGTCGATTAATTTATTTATAACAATAAACTTTCGAAAGGTGTATTACGTCCCCAATAATTGTATTATTAATACTATACTATTATGACTGTCATCAAATAGTATCAACCCCAAAGTTTATTTAAGTTATACATCAATTTTATATTATACAATAATCAAATTCATGCGCTTTTCTTTGAGGTAAAGTTTTAGATTTTTTTATAAAAGTGAAAATAGATAAACTTATTCCCAAACATTCCGCATAAGTAGTAAGCATTGTTAAATGGGCATTTCGTGTCGGAAAAAGGTTTTGCTACTTCAAACATTCAATGTTTAATTAAATTTTCTGAACCTTAAGTACTTGTAACATAACCGCCTTAAATACAATTACTCTACCCATAAAAAATCTTCGACTTTTAAAGTGCTAGGTCTAAAAATTAATTCAGTAAATATATTTCAAAAATTATTGCGACATTTGACACAGTAAATTCATTTTACATTGATTAAAAAAACATAAAATTAATTCCTAGACCAGCATGTAAGTAACAAATTTGGTATTTACTGAGTAAGTCGAGTTGTTCAAAAGAGTTTTAATATTGTCGAGGATAATAGTAATTATTGACGAAAAAAGTCGAAGGATAGCTCAAGTTTAAAGTTTGACAAAATCTTGAATAAAGCGTTTTATCAAAATTTTATCATAATTCATCTAATTACTAGACTTTAGGTATATGTAGATATTATTAACGGTGTGCCGAGAAACAGTCATGGTACCGATTTTTTAATCATGGCCAAAGCAGCATTATTTTTTCACTGATTTATAGAAGTGGTAAGACGAAAAGTGGACTGTGTATGTTATTGTACATATAAAGTAGTTTTTAATTATCGAAAGTGATTATTCAACATGTACACAAATAAAAAAACATTAAATAACTTCATCATCGACAAAATATTAAAAATATCAAATTAAATACTGCTAAAAACAAAACAAAATTTTTATTCATTACTACTGTATAACATTAAAAGCTCTAAATATGTTATATAAAATGTTTATAAATGTTGTACTTAACAAATTACTCTTGCAATTGTTACTAATCTATAATAGTTTACTAATATCACTACATAGAAAATAAATATATTCACTTGACTATTTTTCTTGAAATATTTTCAAGTTGTGTTGAAAAAAACATTGCACTCTTATTGCTTTAGATGCACGAAGTAATTTTTATCTCAAGTATTTATTTTTTTACATGGAAAAAAAAAAAAAAAAAAAAAAAAAAGATTATTTTGTATAGAAGACGAAAAATTTATTGACCATGTTTCCTAGCGTATATAACTAACTTGTATCTTTTTTAAATAAAACTCAATGAAAAATATTTTATGATTTTTTTTTCATTAAAAGTTGCCAAATTCACTTTCTCTCACTCGCTCTCTCCCTTCCTTCCTTCTTCACTCTCTCCAGTTCTCATTTCTTATTAATTAATCTCATCTCTCATGAACTTAACTTATATGTTCTTATGGTTTTTATGTATTTAGGTATTACATATGGAACATGCACACTATGAAGTAATCTGATCAGCTAATCTTGGAAAAATATTTAAATTTGAAGAAACAATTAAGTAATAGGTAGAGGATAAGAGGAGTACCTAATAGCGTTTTCAAGCAACTACTTTCCGGATGGAGCACTCTGAGTACTTGTTGGTGTTGAGTTCTGTACTCTCGGAGTGCTCCGAAAAAGTAGCTCGAAAACGCTATATGTATAAAATAATACAGCTATCGAGTTCTATGACTATAGTGAAGTACATGTTACACTTTTCATCATTTATGACTCATGTAAGATGTAACTATGATGATTTATGACTACAGTCATTAATGACTAATCATTTATGACTACCAGTCATTAATGACTACAGACAAAACAGTCATTACTGACTAATCATTTATGACTACCAGTCATCAATGACTACAGACAAAACAGTCATTACTGACTAATCATTTATGACTACCAGTCTTAAATGATTATCATTTACGACTACCAGTCATTAATGACTAATCATTTATGGTCGAAACAGACATTAATGACTACCAATTAATGACTAATCATTTACTACTGCTACTAATCAGTCTAATTCTAATCCTAATCATTAACGACCGAAGTCATTAATTTGTAGTCATTAATGCCTAGTTGATGACTACAGTCACTACAGTCATTACAACGACCATACTAACCATAGTTATTTACAGTCATTAATGACTATGCTTGCAAGACCCCAAGAAATGTTGTGGAAGTCATTATTATCATTAATGACTTACGGGTACCCTATGCTAATTAAATAAGTCAAATTTTCTGTACATTTTTGGAACGAACGATCCGAGAGTAACTACTGTCTGTAACTAACAGTATACAGTAATTTTTGAACGCACCCAGCGCGCCTTATCGTTGTGTGTTTGCACTTATGACTGCATGCTGCCGCGGGTTGAGGGCTTGAGGCGGGTCGTCAGGCGGCACGGGACGTGTGGGATAAGTTTTAGTTTAAGTTACTACCGCATCATGGTTTACTAGATTGAAAAATGTCGCTAAACTAGCCTTTTTTTTTTCAACGCCGAATACGTGGACGAGAGAGACGGACGCCCTCGAAAGGATTAACGATTAAAGAGTGTGGTTGTTTACGCGTCCTTATTTTATTCTTAGAAACAAAGTTAATTGTGTACATTAACTGCATTTTTTAAAAATAAGTATTGACGCGAGTGTGGACAAATTTTTTTAAGTATCCACAGATAAGTACCAAGTGTAGATAATGTGTGATTTTTTTTGTAACGTTTTTTTCCGTCAGCTGTACGTCAAGTGAGTTATGATCTTACGTTTTTAAAAACAAGAAACTTAACCTTTTTTCGTTGTTTTAATAATATTTTTCTCTTAATAAGTACCCTAAGACTAAACGAAAAATGTGAATTTTAGAATACAAGAATTACAAACTTCCGTACTCTTTTCATGATGGTGAAAATTTTTTTCAGATTTTTGATGGAATAAACGATAAAATGGACATTTCATCAAGAAAAAAGAATCTATCTTTCTCTTTCAACGTTGATTTAGATGATGTTGTTGACAATGACAGTAAATCCTCTACGGATTCCGAAGCTGTCTTGCAAATCGACACTACAGAAATGGATATCCTTGAAAATAATGCGAGTAAAAAGAGAGAATCGCTCGGTGACACGGCTTTTGTTAAGAAAAAAGAAGAAGAACTTGAAAGGCAGTTGGATGAGAAAGCTGCCAAGACCAATCTGACTGCAACTAATGTAAAGAATATCATTAAACATGTCATTTCTCATGAACTAGTCAAAGCAATGGTACAAAAGTCTCCGACAATGGGTGATATCATTTTTGAGCCCAAGTTGACAAGATCGAAAGCCAAGTGGGTACATTGACTTGCAAACTTTTTGTATGAAATGTATTTACATTCAACAAAACTTAAGCAATTTTTTTGATTTTCTTAAATCAGGGAATTAGGTGTATCGCACCCTGACATTCTTGGACCTTTAACACCAGTGAAACATACAAATACTTCTGAAGTTCAGGTACTCATTGAAGGAGAGTTTTCAGAGAATTCGTCGGATGAGGAATATGACCCTGATAAGGACCTGCAAGATGATGATAAAGAAGTTGAATGTACAGGTTCTACTGGAAGTGATATTGACTCTCAGCCATCTACGCCAGCAACACCTGACGACCCTAGCTTTAATTTAGAAGACTTACAATTACTGGAAGTACAATATGATGAAGAAGGTGTTTTTAAAATTCCACAGTAAGGTTTTTTTACCGCCAATAAATAACTAGAAATTTATCAAATAAAAAACATTTACAATAAAATTTTTTCAGGATTCCACATGCTCCTACCAAAGAAGAGAGTATAGGTCACAGAACTCGATCGAAACTTAATCTGAAAGAAACGCCTCTAGAAGAGATAGAACAGGCTTTTGTTCCTCCGGACATTACAAGTGATATGTATGAATGTGATTGGGAACCTGATGAAGACTGGGCCCAATTTTTGCAATCTTGTTATCAAAAAGAAGAAACTGGGCCTCAAGAAGTAAATATTAATGAGGATGACCCAGAGGACCCAGAATATAATATTTTAGAAGATAAAGAATTAGATTTCTGTAAGTATAATGATATTCTTCATTAATTTCAACTAACTGTATAAATGATCAGGTTTTAAACTTAAAAATTAATATTAGTGGACAAAGAAGAGTTACGACATGATAAAGCAGTTAAAATACCAAAGCATGAATTAAAAGATTTAATAGCACAGCTCGGTGAGCATGGGGATAAAAGTGTAAGAGATGAAAAAACACGTGAACAGGAAGAACAGTTACAACTGCAAAAATTAACAAAAAAGAAAAAAATAGATACATGTACAGCATCTCCAACAAATAATTTTATAAACGTATGCAATACTTAGATTACTTGCAAAAAAAATACGTTAAAAATATTGATCTGTTTGTTGATTTAATCTTTCAATTTTTGTTTCAGATGAATCCAATGGTAGATTTAATAACAGTATTAGCGGAACCAGAACTTCCAAAATATATCGATATCAATGTGCAGCAATTATTGTCTGTACAAATGTCCCAACACGTTCAATTGTTAGCACAACAAATTTTAATGACTTACAAACATCCCAAACTGCACTATATATCTAAAGTCTGTAAAGATCTTTTAAATAGTTTAAGGTATTAATGATCAAAATGTTTTTTTTCAAATCATTTTTAAAAATTTTTTTCCGTAATAACTCATGATTGCATTTATTAAAATTTTTTAGTACTTTAGGTACCAATGATAACTCGAAATTTTTAGCTGGAAATTTTTTTGACGCTTTACAATTAATATCAGATTGGGAGTCGAAATTAGATGATCCAGTATTTTCAAATGAATATGTCGAGGGCTTAGAAACGGAAGAAAAAAAAGAAATATTATATTTTGAAAACTCACAAAAATACATACCAAATTTCCATCCAGAACTTATTAAGTTAATGGCTGAAAGTAAAGCACTCCAGCATCCTCAAATGTTACCAGAAGTCTTTCCCAGAACTGTTACTGGCAGTAATAAAACTATACGATATTTACCTTCGGAAGAAAAGTATGCTCTATTTTTTTCAATGCCTAATTTTGGAAAAAATTAAATTTTTTATCCAGCAGCTGAAATTTTTTGTTTTAAATTTTATTTTACAGTCTTATTGCTATTGGTTTGGAACAGTTTATTTCATACTATAAGAGTTCTAAAAAACAATTTCGTAAAGATATCGATTTTTTAAATGATGCTGTAAGGGATATTCAAAAGTATTTAATACCTGTAAGAAGTATGAGTGCACTGATGTATTACATTAAAAAACGTAAATGGAGTAAAAAAGATAATATCATAAAGGTAAGCTTGTTTATTTCAAAAATGTGAAAAGTAAAATAAGTAAAATAAATACCGTTTTTTATTCATAATTAATTGAGTAAATTGATGTTTTATTCATACAAAAAATGTATTTTTTTAGGATTACTTTGTTCACGGGACGGTTCCTAAAGTTGAGCATCAAGTTTTACCTTTATATCCACGTCTAGCACCTATAGATCAGCCTATCGAAGTTTTACCAAATAACTGGAAAAAATTTATACTTAGCGTGAGTCAAACAAAATTTTAGATCTAAAGTATAAAATTGATCAAACATTTAACTTTATTCTTTCAGATGAAAAAGAATGATCTTGATGAGTTTTTGAAATTTCCGAAAAGCCCCCAAAAAAACATGAAAAAAACGGATAGCTCTGTCATGTCTTTGAATGTAGCAGATGCAAATCATGATCTAAGAAATCCGATGGTTTACATGTTTCATATGCCATCGTTAATGACACCTGATAAGAGTATAGTCAGTAATGTATCGATACAAAATACAAATGAAAATGAAAACTCCGAAACACTGGAGCAAAACGTGATTACGATAGAACCTGAGATAAAAGTCGAACCTTGTATATCCACGTCAAAGACAACTCCAAAAAAGTGTTCCTCTATCGCAGAGTCAAAAATCAATATGAAAACAAGAGCGGCTCAGTTGAAGGCGAATGAAACTAAATCCGATGCCGAATCGGCTAAAAGTCAAAGAGCTGGCGAGACAGATGAAGAAAAAACGAGACCGACTCGTCTCAGGATGACTACTCCCAGACTGGCTAAAATAAAAAGTGCTCAAAATATGAAACTCCTAGCTCAAGCAATGTCTTCAAGAACTTCGGTATCCAGTTGTAACGTGGAAGAAAATAAAGAAGATAATAAAAACGAAGACAGCGAAGATTTACTTTCAGTTGACAAAGGGGTAAGATAAAGGTTAATTTATTAATTATGCAATTACTTTACCGTGTAAAAATATAATCTCTTTTTAATTAAAGGACAACGAAGATGAAATAGCTGAGCTTATGTTGGCTAGTACGACTATAAAAAAGAATACAACAAATCGGAAAAAAACAAAACAAGCCAGAGAACAGGAAAATTTAAAAAGACTCATAGATGCACAAAGAAATATTGATGAAAACGAGAGAGCTCACAGTATGCATGGTTTTTATTGTAGAAGTCAATAAATTATACCATTTTAATTTCTTATTTATAAATTTTGTTTAAGGATTTGCCTCTTCTTATTTACAAAGAGTACACGAAAGATTAGAATCGCAAGATCCAGAACTGTCTAAAATGATCGCCAAATCTTTTGTCGAATTTGAAAAAAATATGCAAAAAGCATGTCAACCTGAATGCACTGATGACTGTGCGGAGGTCGCCGAATCGCCATGTAATTCTAAAAAATCTGAGAAAGATATTCTTACAATCGAGTTTTACAAAGATATTTGTGAAAATCTGAAAGATCATCCAGATCTCTGTTCGGAGTTTGTGTTATTTTTGAAACCTCATCAAGCTGTCATGATCAACAAAGCCGCGGAATACTTGATGTTGATGACAGTTTCGGATTTTTTTCTCATCACACAAAATTACTTTTCAAAACAACCATCCCGAATAGCAAAAATCATGCAGGCTTTAACGCAAATGGCCTCAGATCCTCATATAAATGTAGGAACGTTGTTGAATACTACAAACTCTGTCTTTAAGGGCCACCCTATGATCATAGATATGTTTCTGCACTTATTTCCGAAATTGAAACCTCCTGAAAGGTATGCACGTTTCATTTTATAAATCGTAAATTTACACTAGACTAGTAATACAGTTGAACATACGTGAATAAAGCCTAATTTTTTAAATTAATGAATATTCTTTTGTTCAGTTTGTTTGCGCCCGGCTCATTTGAAAATCTAGTTTGTCCCTCGGGACCATCGCATGACAAACAAAAAGAGTTCGATGAAGATGCACCAGAATTGTACGAAAGTATTGACTTGCCGGTATTGTCTATTCAGGAAGATCCTTATGGTGGTGATAGTTGCAAGTGCGACTGTCATGCAGGAAATGATGAGACCAAATCAAAAGGGACGAATGAGCATTGCGCAGCTTGTGGAACAAGAGTAAGAAATTGCTTATTCTCTTGATTAATTTGCAACAAGCTTGTTTTGACACAATTTCTTACGTAAATTATAGTTTTTGAATGGAAGAGTTTATTTGCAAACCCCGGAAGGTTTAAGGCCGGCCAAAATCACGTTTCCCGGTGCTGAAGAAGAAAAGTTGGAAAATATCTCTCGAGTATCGTTAAAGACTACTAAACGCATTCCATCTCCACCGCCGAAAAAACGTCGAAAATATTCAAAACGTGATTCCATATCGGAAGAGCCTGATGGCGCAAAAGCAGGTCTTTCCAAAGTTTCTCCGGCTAAGGACAATGAAGAAAAGGTGAAATCTAAAAAAACGTCAAAATCGCCACTCAAATCTGCTACCAAAGTTCAAACTGCCATTGTAAAATGTAAACGTGATAAGAAGAGTGATAAAAAAGATGAAAAAACAAAACAAACGACTGATGACGATCAAGGCGAACCTACTTACGTGGAACAAAAAGAATTTGATGAAGGTACTTGAAAGAGTTTTAAATGTGAGATACGTTATTGACGCTATAAAATTATTTTTCAGTCAACTGTAAAATAGAAGAAACTAGTACGGATAGCCATGAAGATGACAATCTGACAAGCCCGGAAAAAAGAAGTTTACCAGGTAGAGAAAAAACAGAAATATCCAGTGACTCCGATAGTCATACAGAAGCTGAAATAGATATAAATAAATCTTGGACATTGGAAGATGACAGAACACTGTTGGAGCAAATTCAAAAAGACTACTCTGAAAAAACTTTCAACTTAGTTAGCTTGCTCTTGAAACGACCTGTTGAACAGGTAATTATTTATTTTTATAAGAAATAAAAAAGAAAACCATTTTATTTGTAATTTCTAAATGTAATTTATTTGAAATATTTCAGGTGAAGGAACGTTTTGAATTTTTACTACTGTTGTTAGAACAAATGTCATAAGTATTATATCTTGTATTAGCGATACGTTTTGTACAAACTTCTTTCATACAAAGTGTAAATAGTCAACAGTATTTAAACGAAATTAAATTTTTTATATAAATTTATGGTTTTTATTTGCTTTATAATACTTATAAAGTCTTTATTACATTTAATCTCTCCAAACGGATTTATTTTCTATAAAAATGACAAATGGCAATGTATAATTCATTCTCGGATGATGCAATGAATTACTTATCATGCAAATATTTTGAAAAATCTTTCGTTACCTTAACAATTACCAATTGTTTTTCTTAGTTTTTTTTTTTTTTTTTTTTCCATTATGGCTATTTGTTTCTTCAATTACACAAAGTTTTCTAATTATTTACGAAAATTCACATAGATATTTGCAAAGGTCTGTACAACTTTAGCTTTTTCTTAACACGCGCGTATTTACAATAACAAAAACGCTTTCTTTAATATTGGACATTATTATTAAATCATTATAATTATAAAAAATCAAAGTTTACCTTAAAGAACAATAAACAATATGACGAATCTATAGTATTGAAATTAACAAGACTTTCTGAGGTGTTTTGAAATGATTCAAGAAAAAGACGATGAAAACTTGTTCGGTTAATTGACTTAAAACACCTCCATGTCAACTTCTACACCAAGATCGAGGAAATCGTCGCTGTAATCCTGAACATGCCTCAAGCAATCGGGGTTGGATGTCGTTAGCTCGGAGTGGTCCGGATCATCAGTCACAGGACTTGGTGGTGGATTGGTAACCGTGCGTTCGGAATCGATAGTGATTCTATCCATTCCTTCCCCTCTTAACAACCGAACTTCCTCTGCAATTTGTTGTGTTGAGAGCTCTGCTCGATTCAACAAAGTTGGTAGGTCCTTATCTGAACCGTCTAAAAGAACCATAAGCATTAATTTAGTGATTTTATTTTTTCATTTACATTGTTTGCTGAAAAATTCCTACATACTCTCTAACAACTTCATAAGTTCTTGACTCTTTTGGTTTCTATGTGACGCTTCAATCATTTTTCTTCTGTCTACAATTTCTTTTTTTTCTTGATAAAATATCTCGCGAATTTTCGGTTGAGGAATGTGATCATCATTCTTGACGAGGAAAAGATAAACTCCGCCAGCAGTTCTCCTTCTGGAACCATTCATAATCAACATGCCACCTTCCTCCTCTATTTTTTTTGTTTCTTCAAAAAAGTAAATGGCTTTTTGTTTCCCCAAAACATCAACTATCCTTCCTAAAATAACAAGTTGTGAATATTAATCAAAAATATTCAGACATAAATTACACATGCAAAGCAACACAAGTAAATAATTATCAACTCACTTATCAGAGCATCTTTTTTTTCTGATAATTTGTCAGCAATATCAGCAGCTACATCCTCCTCAGTTGACTCAGCTGTAACAGTCAAATCTAAAATCGTGCGAGCTGATCCTTTTTTATTTTCTTCAGGATTGTTTCTTCTTTTGCCCAATCTTAACTTAACATCACGCCTATCGGAACACGTCCTCTTTTTAGTCACTCTCGGCTTTACCTCCTGATCTTCTTCTTCTGAAGTATTATCCCTGTGCTTGTCATTACGTCTACATGAAAGCTTGTAATCATAACTTTCCACGTTGCGATCGCGATACTGACTTTTGGTAACACCACAAGAGAGCAAATCTTCTGTCAGTGATTCTTCCTGCACTTGTCTACACCAAACTTTGTATTTGTCATTTGCAGACCTAGATTGGTGACTTGATGTTTTACATCGCTTTATCTTGATTTTAGGTCGTTTAACGAATTTAGGCCCATCATCTGAATCTGAATCGCTTTCAGTAGCTCCTGACAAATCCGATTCGTCACTGTACCCGAGATTTTTTGACTGTTCTGGTACAGAAGCCACGTGATGAGGTCTTTGCAAGACCTTGTATGGGCCAAAAGAATCAGCTTGCTGGAAATAAATAAATTGCATGAATTAAAATTAAAAAACGAAAAAGATTACGAAATTAAAAAAATTAAAAAAAAAAAATTAAACTACATTGCGAGGTCTCTGCAAGACCTTCTGTGACCCAAAAGCACCAACTTGCTGTAAATTAAAAATCATACACATTAACATTAAAATAACGCATGATTAAGTTAATGAAGAGATATTGAAAAATTAGAAGTACATTGTGAGGTCTCTGCACAATCTTGTAGGTCCCGAAATCATCACTTGCCTGTAAATGGAAAATCATATGAATCAACATAAAACAATGAATTAAGCAAATGAAAATTTGTCAGAAAAGAAGGATGTTCTACAGCAAGCATTGACAAAATTAATGTTGCACGAGCCCACCATGAACTTAATTAGAAAGAAGTTTTAAGCAAAAATCAATGAGAGAAACGTAAAAAGCGTGCGAACAGGTTAGATGTGCCGCAATCGGTGTATGCAGCTAAATTACTCGTAGTGGATGTGCAAGGCTGACCTCGTCATCGTTGTCAACGACTTCGCCGTCCTCGAGGTCGAGTGATTCGGTCTCCATCGTGTTTTTTCACAATCCGACGCAGAACAAGGGTGCTGATGTTCTCTCGTTCCCTTACTACGTCGTTGATTTTTCGCAGTTTTACGGATTCAGGCAATGACGAGCCTGCGAACCGTACAGCACTGCTGTATGGTATAAGTACTGCACTTTTCTGCTATGACGATCAAATAGATCAAAATCATGCAGAATCGAACATTGTAAGACTGGATAACTTGAACCTGTAGAGTGTGTCTGATGGTGGTCTGGACTGAACTGCACCGTCGCCGTCATACTACACGTTTGCACAATCTACTCATCTTCTTCATTTTTATTTTTCAATACTAAGCTATACCTATATATAAGTTTTTGTGGTGTGGGTGTGTGTAGATAAACTAAAGATCGAGAATACCGATCTACTGATTGTTGGTAACATAAACAAATGAGCAAAAAGGTTATAATTTTAAGATTTAATAAAAAAATTAATCGAGGAAATTGAGAAATTTTCGATGAACATTAATTATTANTATCATTGTGATTGTCCTCATTACAATAATCATAATTAATCCAAATTATTCGTATTATCACAGCCATGATTTATTATACTGCTACTGTAACTACAGTTTTTAATATAACCGCTTTAATTTTTTCTCGGTAATATTTAATTTTTGTATTTTAATGAACCGCAGCCGCTCACTTAGCCAAGTGATAAAAAATTCATAATATTAAGCGAGTTGGTAACATAAACAAATGAGCAAAAAGGTTATAATTTTAAGATTTAATAAAAAAATTAATCGAGGAAATTGAGAAATTTTCGATGAACATTAATTATTAAGTTTTATTAAATTAGCTTCTACTACTTACAGTAAAAAAAATTCTTCTAATATTTCCGTAACGTGTTATGGAATGGAAATGGAACACTTTAGAAATTTTATTTTATAAAAATTTTCTTGTACCGTTGGTGTGACATGCATAAGAACATTTTCAAGCTCAAAATTTAAATTTATAAAGTTAAATCAGAAGTTTTAAAAATTTTAATAACTGTATTTCACGATTTAACACACTTAACATTGTAAGATTTGGAAGGTAAAAAAAATTCAAAAAACATTTTAATCACGGCCATCGTGGGAATCCCCTAACGTCAGATTTAAAATTATTCTGATGGAAAATTCTTTGTGTTCGACTGTTAATAACTAAGTAAGCGACGATAATAAAACCAATCAAACTTGTGAAAGCTTTGAATAAAGTTTGTCTCTTTTTTTTATGCGTCCCAGATTTGCTAGTCAGCTGATGAGCTGATGTTAAAGGCGCACGTGTGACAGCAAGGTATATCGTATTATTTTGTTGTAAAACTTTTTATTTTATTTTCTTAATTTATTTGCACCTGATTGTACTTACGAAGTTTATTTACGTGTTGCAAACAACTATGTCCAATTCAGCAACAAATATGACGGAATTTAGTCGTTTGCCGACTAGTGTAAAGCCTACGAATTACGAAATTTTTTTAACAATTAATTTGGATGATTTTACTTACAGTGGTAAACAAAATGTTTGTATAAAAGTAAGAAAATTTATTTTTCATATGAATTTCGATTTTTCCCATTGGTAAAATAATTAATTGAATTTTTCTTGATTTTACAGGTGTTGAAATCAACAAAATTTATAGTTTTGAATTCTTTAAATATTAAAATTAAGACTGTTTCATACAACATTAACGGAGGCAAAGATATCATAAATGCTCAAAGCATTGAATACAACGTGCCAGATGAGATAGTCAGCATAACTTTTTCAAAAGAAATTCCCACAGGAGATCTCGGCTATCTCTCTTTCGAGTTTGATGGGATAATAAATGAGCAGTTGAATGGTTTTTATCGTAGCAAATATACTAGGTAAGATTACTTTCGAAAATTTATAATTTTGCATTAATTGGAACAAAACTTACATTTATAGCAATGGGATGACAAAATATGCAGCTGTTACTCAATTTGCACCCACAGATGCTAGGAGATGTTTTCCTTGCTGGGATGAGCCAGCAATTAAAGCTACATTTGATATTACCTTAACAATCCAAGAAGGATACATTGCAATTTCCAATATGGTATGGATTAAACAACTACTTCTGATACCTTGTTTTTCTTTGTTTTTTCCATCAATTAAAATATAATTTCAGCCTATCAAGATCTCTAAGAAATCTTCAGAAAACCTTACAAGTATTAGTTATGAAAAAACACCCATTATGTCTACTTATTTAGTTGCATTCATGGTTTGCAATTATGGTTTCCTTGAAAATTTGAATGATGGCAAAATAATTCGCGTTTATGCCCCAAAAGATAAACTAGATCAGAGTCAGTTCACTCTTGACACAGCAATGAAGTGTTTACCGTTTTACGAATCTTACTTCAACATCCCATATCCATTATCAAAAATAGATTTGGTTGCAATGGCAGAGCTTAGTTTTGGGGCAATGGAAAATTGGGGACTTATTACGTTTAGAGAAGCTGTCATTCTTGTTGACTCAAACAGTTCAACAGACAAGAAGGAAAGGGCCGCACTAACTATTGCTCATGAATTGGCTCATCAGTGGTTTGGAAATCTTGTGACAATGGAGTGGTGGACTCATTTATGGCTGAATGAAGGATACGCTGCATTCATGGAAACCTTATGTGTCGACAATTTATATCCAGAGTTTAGTATTTGGTCCAGATTTTTAACTACAAAACATATTAAAGCTTTAGAACTTGATGCCTTGGTGAATACTCATCCTATTGAAGTACCAATAAAAAATCCGTCAGAAATAGCTGAAATATTTGATGAAATTTCCTACAATAAGGGTGCCAGTGTCATTAGAATGATATATAATTATATTGGTGATGAGGACTTTAAAGAAGGAATGAAATTGTATCTCAAAAAGCATGCTTATTCTAATGTTCAGACTGCAGATCTATGGAAATCTTTAGAAGAATCTAGTAATAAGCCGATCGGCAGTATCATGTCAACTTGGACAAAGATGCCAGGCTATCCGCTTGTTTCTGTTACTGAAAAAAATTTTAAAAACTCAAAAAATCGTATTCTTACCATTTCTCAGAAAAGATTTTATTTTGGTAGTCCTAATAATACGGCTAATACTATTTGGTTGATCCCGATTTCCATTAGTAGTGCTGAAAATCCAGAAAAGGTACTAAAAATTGTGATTTTAGATGAAATAACTAAAGATGTAGAAATTGAAGGTATATCCAAGCAAAGTTGGATCAAAGTGAATACAGGGACGGTTGGATTTTACAGGACTATGTATAGTACTGATTTATTTGAGAAACTGATATCAGCAGTTCAAGAAAAAAGCTTACCAACTTTTGATAGACTTGGCTTACTGGATGATTTGTTTGCTACAGCTCAGTCTGGACACACTTCAACAGTTGAATATTTAAGATTATTAAATGAATTTAAGAATGAAAGTGATTACATTATTTGGTCTTCTATTATCAATAGTTTAAGAAAAATCAATGGTATTTTGTCCCACTTGGAAAAAATCATTCATTGGTTTCAAGCATTTGGAAGAAATCTTTTGCAAGGAATTCAAGCAAAACTCGGCTGGTCGGCTAAACCAAACGAACATCATTTGGATACTTTGCTAAGGTTTCATAATTTTTTTTGTTTGCCTGCGTTTGAAAAATATTTTTACTTACTTTTGATCGATTTACAGAACTTTGGTTTTAAGCCAACTTGTCGAATTCGCCGATAAAGCTGTTATTGAGGAAGCAAAACGTCTATTTGAGCTTCATATTACGAAGCAAAGTATTTTACCAGCTGATTTTCGTGGTCTTGTTTATCGCGCAGTATTATTAAATGGGAGTGTAGGGGATTTCGAGAAAATACTATCTCTCTACAGAGACACTGATGCCCATGAAGAGAAAAATAGAATCTTGAGTTCTTTTGGTGCTATCAAAGATTTGAATATTCTCCAAAGAATCCTCGAGTTTTCAATGAGCGAAGAAGTAAGAGCTCAGGATACAATTTATGCCCTTAACTCTGTTGCAAGTAATCATCAAGGACGTCTTCTAGCCTGGCAATATTTTAAAAGCAATTTAAAATTGTTTGTTCAGCGCTGCCAAGCGGGAAATTTATTAACAAACATCGTAGGGACGGTGACGATAAAATTCACTTCAGAGGAAATTGTACCTGATATTAAAGAATTTTTCGAACAAAATGCTGTTTCGGGAACTGAAAGGACTGTACAGCAGAGCATTGAAACTATTAAACTGAATGCAGCATGGTTAAACCGTGATCAAGAATCATTGAACAAGTTTTTAGAAAATCAATTTAAAGCAAATTAAAATTTTAATTAAAATAAAAATTGTTTTATTAATTTAAAAACTTTTATGCATATTAAAAATAACAAACTCTTTGGCTTTTTTATCTGAGAAATCCAACGATTTCTCTGTTTGCACCCAACTCATCTTCGCTCTTCAAAGCGCACATTATTGCAGTGTTCAATTTAATACCAACACTTTTTCCCATCTGTAATTATATCATGCAATGAAAAATATTATACGATAGATATAGTTACTTGTAGACTAAATAATAAATTTTACCTCTAAAAATTTAGTTAATGTAGAAGGTAGTAAGCTACCATATCCCATTTTAATCATAGATGACACTTTACCACTAGGTAAAACTGATACAACTGTGCTTGCACTACTGCACGTTTCTTCTTCACAAGATGGATCAACTACACAATTATCTCCAATCTGAAATTTTGAATGCCATTTGTCATTTCTCAAGTTTATTTGTAGAAGTAGCTAGTCAATTTAAAACATACTTTGCACAATGTCACAATAATTGGAAAGTTGGTTACATCTAACTTCCAACTATCATAGATATCGTCTGATAAAATAACATCAGCTTCACCACCATCCAGCATAGCACCTTTTACTTTTGGAATTTCTGTGCTGTACAAAGCTGCTTTCACTGCAGCGCCAACTGTATCGAATAAATTGCCACCACATTCTAGGATCTGCACTAATTTTTGTTAATACCTCAGTAATAAAAAATAAAAATAAAAATACAAAGTCGTGTTAAAACGAAACATACCAAAATATCTACAAAAAGCTTCCAACATTTTTTGTATGGCAGTATTGATAATTGAGACAGATCCATAGCATCGGGAGACTGATATGCAAATGCAAGTACACTACTGATTTCATTAGCCAGTTCTTCTCCACCTCTGCCTTCAAAACTTGGTGTAGCATTGGCTGAACTAAAATCATCAATTCATCAGTTAATTGATAGCTGTAAAAAAAACTACTTGTATTGAAATCACCATTGTAATCACCAGTCAACAAAAAATTCCAATTTGCCTGCATGAGGATTTTCAGGATATGGTACATCGATTTCCACTTTAACACCTACAAGAACATCTGTATTTCCGATTCTTAGCCTTGCTGATCCATGGACTTGGCCCAACAGTTTTGTTTCCAACTCCATACATCTATAATCTGTTCTGCTTCTCCCATCACTTCGAAAATTTCCCTAAAATTGTATATCCATAGTCTATTGTTACATGAGTGTCATTACATATTTTAAACGTAAGAATTGTTAACAGATCTCCCTACTCTATTGTCAAATCCACGTTACACAAATTTTTTTTTTTTTTTCATGCTTTCTGTCAAAAAATTTTCATTTGTTACTTACATCTGCACCGTGAAGAATAAACGTTTTTTCAGCCAAACTCAGTTGTATCTCTGCCATTTCATTCACAGTTTATTCAATTGTTGCTATTAAAATAACTTGGAGACAGCGGATACCAGTTTCATTAAGTGTTTACACACTATTGCACACTATCCATGCACTAACCTAAAAAATGTGCGTGCAATATAGGTATATACATGTAGTTTCAGGTTTAGCCGGTAGACAACAGAAACAGAGTAATATTGTATAAAGGTAAATTGACAAGTACAAAAAATTAGTGTTCAAAATCATGAATAGCTGACATGCAACACATAATAATTGAGGTTGTTAAACCATAGAAAAAAAAAGGCAAATAAACGTAATATATTTTATTATAATTTTAACTATCGAGTAATATATTGTACAGATTTTCCGTGAAATTCTTTTATATGGGTGAATTTTCAAAACCAAAAGTAGCAAACTCTTGTGCTGTCTTCTCTTTGAAATTGGGATAGCCTGGATCTCCAGGATATGTTGGAATTCTGTTGTAGGTAACTTTCCATCCACCTTTTCTTGTCCAATCCTATAAATGATTAAAGATTTGAGATAGTAGTATTTAATTGGCTATTTAAAGAAAATCATTCAATTTTCAACTTACACCTGCATTATACTTGAAGTAGTACCATGTGGAATATATGCTGGCTATCAAAAATCCACCTTTACCAATAACATGTCTTGTTATAATAGCTTTGTTTGTACCCTGTAGTGAAAAATCTGATTTATTAATTATGTTTCAATAATGAAAAATGATAGCTGTAATTTTATTGTAATAAATAAGAATAACTTCATCTAAAGTATGGATCGTTTGTTACATTAATAGCTACTTACAATAAGGGGTTTTAATGCACTTTCCAGCTTATCCAAAGGGTATCTATAAAATCTTCTGATAGGATTATATCTTTCTACATAATAATTTTTTGGCTCTACAGGCTCTCCGTGCAGGTGTTGATCTTTTAACCATTGAGCTCTCCAAGCTCGTTCCTCATCGGTCATGCCAATTAATCTTTCTCTTTCACGAGCCATTCGGCCCTGGATGGCCATGGCCTTGACACCTCCAGTGTCAGAGCAACCATATTCATTGTGAATTTGATTTTCATGTCCACCCACTGAAAAGTAAAGTGATTGATTAAAAAAATATCTTATTATTACTTATTGATCCAACATAAATGTCACGAATTCGGTCTACAACTGAGTAATCATAATCACAATGACAAAAGTAACAGTATTTTTGAAAGATTGTTACATAAATGTGAACAAAATTTTTTTCAAAACATTTCAATCACAACATAACGTTTGACAATAACATCAAAAGGTTATGAGATTACTAAATGATTTAATGATTTTATCAAAGATTAAACGATCAAATTAATATTATGATGCAAAAATGCATGTACTTCTTTATTTAACTAAATATTAACTAAAAGACTACTACGTAAAAACAAAAAACAAAATTACGAACTTTTGCCTGCTTTTCAGGCACTGTGTGTGTCTGTGAACACAGCAGACTACAGGTTAAGTGTTTGCTCCGTAAATTGTTACGTCACAAAAAATATCTAATATATATATATATATAGGGTCGAATAAATATATAAGTATATATGTATATAATACACTAGGATGGAGATTTTTTTTATTGTAACGAAGGCGCGTAGCATAAATGGTAAATACAACATACTTACCTATAAAATTATTTCACAAAAACTTTGTATTGTTGTATAGTATTTAATATTATATAATATATACTATTACTTCATACTCATCCAGCTGCAATATAAAACAAATCGAATAATTTGATAAGACCCAGAAAAGAAGTTAATTATACTACTGTTAATTGGATTATACTTTTCGATTATTTTTAAACATTTTGGTGTCCATAGTATGAGATTATAAATGCAAATACATAAAAAGATGGTTTCGATAGTTTTTCTTCTCAAAAACTCGTTCAAAGAGAACTAAAGTATCAAAAAGTGAGCTGAATTCTCGTGTGAATTTTTTTTCGCTTATTATTATTATTTTTGCTTCGATCTCCCCATGCCAAAAATATCATAAATACACGTAAGCATTTTAGTTACAGTTTTATTTGTTATTTGATACTAAATAGTAATTTTCATACCTGTCGACGCGCGTATCCTGCAGGGCAAGCCCCATTGCAGGACCGAGGACTCGTTGTGCTCTGGTTAGATGCGCGCCAGGTTCGAACTCTAATTTTCCTACTGAGAGTGCAGTAAACGTCCAAAGGTAAAAAAAAAAGAAAAAAAAAGAAAAACCGCCCAAAGTAGGAAAAAGGATAATAGCAAAGATAACCATTTAACACTATATTGTTATGTTGGTGACTCTCGAGAAAATGTTTCCTTTTCATTTCTTTCTGTTTTCTACCATGTAATTTATGATTTTCAATTTTTCCTACTTCACCATGAAAAACTCAAAAATCTTTATGTTAAAATTCAAGCGTAATTAGTAATAAAAAGTTGTCAGACAATTCGATAAAATAAATAGCCATTACTCAATAGTTATCATTGTGATTGTCCTCATTACAATAATCATAATTAATCCAAATTATTCGTATTATCACAGCCATGATTTATTATACTGCTACTGTAACTACAGTTTTTAATATAACCGCTTTAATTTTTTCTCGGTAATATTTAATTTTTGTATTTTAATGAACCGCAGCCGCTCACTTAGCCAAGTGATAAAAAATTCATAATATTAAGCGACTTTATATCACCCTTTTTTTTCCCAATGGGGTTGATTGAGTAAAAACGTTATTGTAAATCAAAGATATTCTAGATAAACGTTAACACTTGTTAAAATCCGAGCTATATAAAAGGGAGCAAGATAATATATGTACAAGTATAGTTGATTGAATATATTTTTCCCTTCCTCTGACGCCCAAGAGGGAAGAAATGAAATGAGTGGTCGAACCGTAGCTCCTCGAGCCAGTTAGATCACAGGCCACTGTGTTTTCCCAAAGACTTCCCCTGTGGATGGAAACATTTTCTGCGTCACCACCACCGAGTGACAGAGGTCCGCGTTTCTGTGATGAAAGGGGCCAGAGGCCCCCGAGATAAAGCAGTTGACCATCGAGATATGAACAATAATAAACAAGTGAATAACATTGATATTCCCAAAACAAGTTACTTCATGCCCGCATAATCCTCTTCCTTGACCACTTGCTACTCTTCCTCCGGGCTTGGAGACGTTTCGGAGGAATACAGGTGGAGAGGAATAAAAAAAATATTTATACATATATACATACACGTAATAAAGTAGTCGTAGGTAGATCATATTTATTTAGTCGTTTATATTGTACAGATTTTCCGTGAAATTCTTTTATATGGGTGAATTTTCAAAACCAAAAGTAGCAAACTCTTGTGCTGTCTTCTCTTTGAAATTGGGATAGCCTGGATCTCCAGGATATGTTGGAATTCTGTTGTAGGTAACTTTCCATCCACCTTTTCTTGTCCAATCCTATAAATGATTAAAGATTTGAGATAGTAGTATTTAATTGGCTATTTAAAGAAAATCATTCAATTTTCAACTTACACCTGCATTATACTTGAAGTAGTACCATGTGGAATATATGCTGGCTATCAAAAATCCACCTTTACCAATAACATGTCTTGTTATAATAGCTTTGTTTGTACCCTGTAGTGAAAAATCTGATTTATTAATTATGTTTCAATAATGAAAAATGATAGCTGTAATTTTATTGTAATAAATAAGAATAACTTCATCTAAAGTATGGATCGTTTGTTACATTAATAGCTACTTACAATAAGGGGTTTTAATGCACTTTCCAGCTTATCCAAAGGGTATCTATAAAATCTTCTGATAGGATTATATCTTTCTACATAATAATTTTTTGGCTCTACAGGCTCTCCGTGCAGGTGTTGATCTTTTAACCATTGAGCTCTCCAAGCTCGTTCCTCATCGGTCATGCCAATTAATCTTTCTCTTTCACGAGCCATTCGGCCCTGGATGGCCATGGCCTTGACACCTCCAGTGTCAGAGCAACCATATTCATTGTGAATTTGATTTTCATGTCCACCCACTGAAAAGTAAAGTGATTGATTAAAAAAATATCTTATTATTACTTATTGATCCAACATAAATGTCACGAATTCGGTCTACAACTGAGTAATCATAATCACAATGACAAAAGTAACAGTATTTTTGAAAGATTGTTACATAAATGTGAACAAAATTTTTTTCAAAACATTTCAATCACAACATAACGTTTGACAATAACATCAAAAGGTTATGAGATTACTAAATGATTTAATGATTTTATCAAAGATTAAACGATCAAATTAATATTATGATGCAAAAATGCATGTACTTCTTTATTTAACTAAATATTAACTAAAAGACTACTACGTAAAAACAAAAAACAAAATTACGAACTTTTGCCTGCTTTTCAGGCACTGTGTGTGTCTGTGAACACAGCAGACTACAGGTTAAGTGTTTGCTCCGTAAATTGTTACGTCACAAAAAATATCTAATATATATATATATATAGGGTCGAATAAATATATAAGTAT